TGGTTCTGACTCTTGCTTAGAAAGACAATACAATTCCGTGCCAATAAATAATGCCACCTTAGATCACTACCCGATGCTACAATTAAACGAGCAAACTGGTTTATTTGAGCCTGTAATTTTCAAAAAGGAAAATATTTCCCATAATATCTATGAGGAAAACGAAGTTGGTATGAGACCAAAAAAAGAAAAAAAATCAGAAGTTGAGACTGTTGGGAAAGAACTATACAGGGCATAAGATTGTTAAAGTTGACGAGAGTTTTAAATTAGAAGAAGTTACGAAAACAAGTAGAAAAATGAGGGATAAGCCTTGTAATCATGGATCAGCTAAAAAGTCAGATAGAAGCTATAAATGATGAAATGCGTGAAGATATTCTTCGATATTTTTAGCAGTTACCAACTTGGCATGCAAAGAAATCGTACATCAATGGATTGACCCAGGTACGAAATATTTTACGACGACGAAAAACTTCTGTAGATTTACACAGAAAATCTTTTGGGTTTGATTGTTATTTGGCAGGCATGTATGGTGCAAAAATTCGTGTTTGTAGGAAAACGTTTCTTGCCACATTTGATTTAAAAAAAGACACGTTACAGCTATGGATTCGGTATTACGTTTGTCTAACAGATAGTGAAGATGTCAACACAGCGCGAAGAATCGACAGAGTTCCTATTCATTCAAGTACTACAACCAAAATTCTTAAGTCTGATTCAGTCAACAAGTGGCTGGATTGTATACCAAAAGTACCTACCCACTACTGTCGAGCAAACAGTTCTAGGATTTATGTCGAAGAATCTTTTGAGTCCTTTACCCACATGCATTCTGTGTATACTGCTTGGTGCCAGACAAATAATATATATGCAGTGAAGAGGAAGAAGTTTCAAGAAATATTACATGAAAATAGGATTTCAATTTTTAAGCCACGCAAAGATCAGTGTGACACATGTGTTGGTTATAAGCAAGGGAACGTTTTGTTAGTGAGATAAAAGACCTACATCTCGCTGACAATGAAACTATGGTCAGTTTGATGTTCAGTCACTATTCACATGCCTACCTATTGAAGACTGCATCTCAATTGTAACTAGGAAGCTAGAAGATAACAACATGCGTGCTGAATATGCAGTATTACTTAAACATTGCCTCACATCTGGCTATCTATTGTGGAAGGAAGAGTTCTACAAGCAAGTAGATGGTGTGGCGATGGGCTCACCTGTATCTCCCATAGTCGCCGACATATTCATGGAGGACTTCGAGGAGAAAGCCCTTCTTACTGCTCCTGTAAATCCAAGATTCTACAAGCGGTACGTAGACGACACTTTCACAATTTTACCATCTGACAAAGTAACTGCATTTTTAGACCACCTTAACTCTATAAACTCTAAAATACAATTCACAATGGAGTTAGAGGCAAATAATTCTTTAGCTTTCCTAGATGTTTTAGTCATTCGAAATCCTGATAACACTATTGGTCACACTGTGTATAGAAAAAAGACCCATACCAACCGATATTTAAATGGTGAATCTCACCATCATCCTTCACAGTTAGCTACCGTGGGTAAATCTTTGTTTCAGAGAGCACGAGGGATCTGTGACAGAAAACATCTGGCCGCCGAACTTCAGCATGTCAAGCAAGTGTTGCAAGACAACAAGCTTCGGATCCCGCGCCTACGTCACAGTGACCGAGTGAAGCCGGCCACAGTCGAGCGTGTGCCTGCTGTACTACCATATGTCAGAGGAGTCACAGACAAGGTTGGCTACATCTTGAAGCGAGCTTCCATTAAAACATACTACAAGCCGCCGAAGAAGATTAGTCAATTTTTACCATCCGTCAAGTGTAATATCCCTCTACAAGATGCAGGAGTGTACAAGTTAGATTGTGAATGTGGTCTCTCTTACATAGGTCAAACAAAAAGATCCATAAAAACCCGCGTGAAAGAACATATAGCTGACGTGAAGCACCGACGCTCCGGGAAGTCTGCAGTCTGTGAACATGTTCAGGATCGTCCCCATCATTACATCAGATTTGATAAACCACAAGTCCTCGCAAAAGAACACCGATTCCTACCAAGGATGATACGTGAGGCTATTGAAATTAAAAAACATCCTAATTTCAATAGAGAAGATGGTTGGGTGCTGCCATCTGCTTGGGATCGTATAATTAACAAAATTAAACCCAAACCCAAGCATACCACTGCAAGACTTCAAGATACTGTAAGTTCGTTTTGCGTAAATCGGACCAAAAATTAATATTCAAAAACTGAAGGTAGCCGGGCTAACAATGACATTGGGACGTTAAACATCTCAGTCCCCCCCGTGACCATGGGTGCTGTAAAGCGCCCGAAACGTCGGGATAATAATAAAAATAAATTAAAGTAATTAAACGCGATAAAATCCGTAAATAATAGTTTTATTTAATGTGTAGTGTTCGCGTAAATTTAAGAAATCATTAAGCAAGGAAACGTGCCAGAAGATTTGTATCAGCTACACATCATAAAAAAGAATGAGGCTCGGGTAGCAAAATCTAAAGCTATTGATCAAATTTCTGATGATGTAGTTGTAGTATCAATGGATTTTAAACTTCTTGTTTCAGAGCAGTATTACAAAATGAAATAAGAACTTCACAATTATTCTTTCCATGTCAAAAACAACAAAGATGTATATTTATATGTTTGGCACGAAGGCGATGGAGGTGTAACAGCAAATAATAAAACTAGTTGCATCATTGATTTTATAAAAAAATATTGTAATGGCAAAAAAAGTTGTTTTAATATCCGATGGTTGTACATACCAAAACAAAAATAAAATATTAATATTTTGTAGTTCCTTAGCTAATCTTAGCGCGACAAACGGAATTGTAATTGAATAAATAATACGTGAAAACGAACATACTATGATGGAGGTAGACAGCGTCCATTCGACGCTGGAAAAAAAGTTTAAGGGTCCCATTTATTCTCCTTCAGATTATGTTTCTCGAATGAGACAAGCGAGACCTTCGCAACCATATAATGTACATTATTTAGACTTCACATTCTTTAAAAATTACGAGTGTGTGCTAGATAATTTTTCTAGTATAAGACCAGGCAGAAAATCTGGCGAGGCTACAGTAAATGATATAAGGGGAATTCTCCATGTAAATGGTGAAGTTAAATATAAATTACGGCACTCAGGTGACTGGAACACCTTACCTCAACGAAGAGCGAACAAGTCATCAGCTATCGCAGAACCAACGAACCTGTATAATGGACCGTTAAAAATTGACGCTACTAAATACAGCCATTTACAAAGTCTGAAACCCTACATGCACCGTGATTACCACTTATTTTATGATAATTTAAACCATTGATAAGATCTTATTATCTTAGTACGGTACCTACTTATTCTATTTAAATATTTACTGTTTTATTTTTAACTAAATTTTGAATTTTAGCTCCTATTATTAGTCCACATATTAATACTGTAAGACTCAGCTATTATACCGCGTACCTGCCTATTTTGTTTGGTTTTGTCAAAACAATAACTTTCATTTAAGTTTTCATATTTTTTCAGTTTAAGTTAATAAGTCATAGGGATAGGGACATTTTTATGTGATTAAAGTTGATTTTTATAAATAAACTTGTTTTATTTAATAGCTATGTGGTGTTAACAATTGTGATTTTTATAAAATCTGTGACATTACAAAATCGTTATGTGTCGCTTGAGGCACATAACGAATATTTAATACTCTAAGAATTCACCCTATGAAAATGAGCTTGCAAAAAAATACTTTGCTTGAATATTACACATTCGAGCAAAGTATTTTTTGCAAGCTCATTTTTCATCTTAACTTTCCAAAACTAATCTAAATCTACAAAAATATGTAAGTAACATTATCATAAAAAATAGTTCTTTATGCTATGAATACATTCTATGAGAACTAATTTTTTGCGTTTCCTATAAGGTGGGACCAAAACACATGGCGATTTTTTAAGCTCAGCGACGTTTTGAAATCATTGGTGTTATCGTGATAAACTATTGAAAAATTTTACAACGTGCAGTATGGCCAGGCACCTTCGCCGTAGGCCGAAGGCTAAGTTTTATCACCGGAATTCTATCGCGATATGTGTGTAATATACATAAATAATTAAACTTTAAATACTGTTTTTTTTAATACTTTCGGTATTTGATTTCTTTAATATTATCGATATTTAATATCGGTAATAGATGTATAAGAATAATATATAAATGAAATAGAAGTATATATACATACCTTTATATTATATTACGGATCTGGGGGCACGGCAGTGCTCCCGCCAAGTCGAGCAAAAAAGCGGCACGGCCGTACCATACTTTTCTCGAAGCAATTCAGGCCATTTTCGACCCCCTATAACTAGGTTGTGGATAAAACTAGAAGCCTGAATTTTCAGTATTCAAGTTGGCATTACATAATGGTGTATTTCAAATTTCATTCAATTTGAACCAGTACTTTAAGAATTATAACTAGTCAAAGTTTCTTAATTTTGTCGCTCACTGACTGACCGATCATCAAAACTCTAAGACACTTCTAGCAGACATAGAAGCTCCAAATTCGGAACACAATTATTGTTTGGTGTATAAATCAAGGAAAAAGTAGAAGGTACCGGAAAGATAAAAAAGTAGGACTATCTTATCTACAAAAAGAAATGAGATGCCATACCAGCATAAAAGAGATCACATCAACGATGCTGTGCTTCGTATGGTGAGTGTAGAGAAACAGAGACCCTTTTTAATGCATATGAGACATTCCATCTTAGTCCTCAAGGGTGACATTAAATCTGTATGTTAAATTACAATTGAAGACAATTAGATGTCTTTGGGCAACAGTATCCACTTGCCATCGTGTCGTGCTCGTTTGTTTGAACAGAAAAGGCTGGATTAAATTATTGACCTATATTTGTGTTTACTTCACATACCAGCTATATTTTATTTGATACAGTTTTCTTTTTTGTTTAAAAATATTGTGGCTAAATACGTCTTTTCTCATTAGATAATTGGTCCGGAAGAATTGGCTGCCGAGCTAAGAGCAGAAGATCCAGAATCCATGGATCCAGTTCAATTGGCTTTACAACGTACGTATTTTCTATATCATCATTTCATAAAATCATCAACATATTATTCTCTCCATCAACAGTTAAATTACTTGTTATACACTAAGAAGTGAGTAATGTTGAAATTTGAGATGACATTGTAATACATTATTTATTTTTACTTACTTGAGAAAGTAAAATATATAATTAAATCAATTAAATTACGCTCGTTTGTGGTGAACAGTGGACATTTTTAAGTTAAAGTTACAGCCTATATACGTCCCACTGCTGGGCACAGGCCTCCTCTCATTTCTGAGAGGGTTTTAGGGCAAGGAATAGTCCGCTGCGCTGCCCTAATGCGTGTTGGCGAACTTCACATGTATTCGAAATATTTTTTTTCTTATTTCTCAGGGATGCAGGTTTCCACACGATGTTTTCCTTCATCGCCGAGCACGTGGTAAATCAGCAATTTAAATTGCAATTAACAATGTCATTGGTGCCGGGGGGGATCGAAACCGGTTTGCTCGTGTACTGTGAAATTTCCAGCGAGCGCTAACCATCTGAGCTACCACGGCTCTTTGGACATTCTTTACTCTATCATTATTATTGTGCTCTAACTGTTTATGTATGAACAAAATTATCAATATAATAAATAATCACCTTTTTTATTATTATATAATCAGTTTTAGTAAAATCGAAGTTTTTCCTGCTGAAAAACTTAAATATAAAATGAAAATTAACCAAATTTATTTTGTCACGTAGGGCATGAAAGTATAGACTTCGACTATTTGCACCCGCATCTAAATGAGGCTGATGGGGAGATATTGCTGGCAGTCACAAAAAGGGCGATCAGCACTGAACAATTTTTGCCGAGATGGTTCCTGCTTCGATTTATGGTAAGATATGTTTTTACATAGAATTTACATAGAAGTTATTTTAATTAACCTGGTGTGCATATTAAATCTTAACTTAGGTAAAAAATATTTTTTTACTCATCTGCGCCAGAAGGGTAATGTTTTTCGTACTTTGGTACTCTCTATAGCCTAAACGGCTTGATGAATATCAACAAACAGGCTGTTGTTAGATTTGTTCTATTGTGAAGTGAATTAGGATATAATTGTAACTCTTTTCAGATAAATTTTTACGCCACTAATTCTTGTTTACAATTATGTACAAGTTATTAAAAAATTGGGCTTGATTTTTAACTATATTACAAGTAATAAATATCGAAAGTCATTTGTGTTTTACTACTGGTTCGAAAAAAATTTTTGAATAACTTTCTAAAATATTTTTTCCAACCAACGAATTAACCGGTTTTATTTTAGTATATGTTCTGTAAGTAGAAAGTTGTCTGTGTCGAGTCAGTCGAGTCGAGCATAAGTATCTCACGAGTGGCATCCCCTAGCATTTTCAGCGTCTCTCGGCTTAGTTTCTTGACCTTCAAAGGTATACTTTGCACTATCTTTTATTCTCTTTTTAAAGACGTATTCTTTAACATAATCAACTCAAATATTGTTAAAACAATTCAGTTTGTCTACACTATTATATATTATTCTTTGACTGAGCATAAACAGAGTTCAATTAATAGGATTTGTTGTATTTTGAGTATGTGCGCGCGATAATTGTCCGACGAAGGTGCGTCCACATTATTTACGAATGTTACGCAAGTAAATATACATTATGCCTTTTTACTTTATTTTTTCGATTTAGTAGATTATGATTTTTGGAGGGTCTTTTATATTGTATATTAGTTTTTGTTATTTTGTCAATCCATGTATTCTTCTTTTATATTATAATAAAACAATAATTACACATTAAATATTAACTTATTAAATCTATCAACAACACTTAACACGTCTATATTGTTATATTCGCGGTATTTATATATCTTTTTAATAACTCTTTATTTATTTTTCTTTTTTTAATTCATTAACATAATCTGCGTCAAATCAGAAGACACGAATATACCGCAATCGGTATCGATAATTCGAGGCAAGCAATGCGTGGTGCAGCACTATTTGTCACCCACACATGCACATACACGCACGGTTATGTATTTTGATTTTGGTCTCACTCAAATCACTCCATCGCCAATCTATACTATACTCTATCTATGGTTATATTAATGTGTATGTGAATGTATGATCGTGTAGTGGCGGTGGCGGTGTAAGAATATCCACTATCCCATATCGTTACGTGGCTGTCGTAAGAGGCGAGAAGAAGGAAATAAACCCGGAGGAAGGCAGCAGTATTCTCCAATTAACATCTAAATGTAAAAAAATTGTTGTTGTCAACTCTCCTGCTAAGCGTGGCGGCTATGGAAAAAAATTCTCGTATCAGGCAATCTATAGGGAGGCCTATTTTCAGTAGTAAACTTGTAATACAAATAGATATATTATATAACTGATATTTCATACGTGGTAGATTCACGCTTCAACTATATTATGATTGTAGCACGAATGGGTTGGCTCGACCAAGGTAGGATTATGCTCTCACAGAATACCAGCGTAAAATAGCTCAATGTCTCTACACACACCATGGTGTTTCGTATGGTGAGTTTAAAGAACCGGAGGCCCTTTTTAGTGGAAACAAGGCATTTCGTCTTAGTGGTCAGGGGTATACGCATATATGTGTACATTTCTTGCTTTGTTGTTTTTTTTTGTAATGTGTTATGTGTGTAGGCGTAGTTGTGTGAGGTGTTTTTGTGTGCATCAGGAGGTGGACGGTGCAACGTGCATCCGCGCACTGCTGGCGGGCGGGCGCGCGCTGGAGGCGGGTGCCGCGTGCGTCGAGGCGCTGCGCGCGGCGCGCTGCGCACTTGGGCCACGCGCCGCGCCCGCCGCTGCGCCGCTCGCGCCCGCCGACCTGCTGCTGGCCGAGCTGCGCGCGCACCGCCACCTCGCGCCCTGCGCCCAAGTACGTGCGCACATCCATCATCGCTTTGCATTGCTGCGCAAACACTTCTGTACTAACTACTTCACGGATTCTGCGGTCTTAATATATCGCGCACTAACTTAGCGACCGAGCTGGCGCCTATCAGTGAGGAATTCCAGAGTAGAGTAACCTGAACAGCAAAAGATTTCTTGGAAATCCAATGAAATGATTTGGAATACAAATTTTATGAGAACAATTTTTTACTGCCTTTACCTGAGAACAATTACTAACTGATATGTTTTTTCTGTAAATATTATTTTATATATTTGTAGGAAATTATCAAAATGTAGAGTCACGAGAATAGGTTTTAGAATAGAATAGAATAATTTATTCAATTTAGTACTTCTATCACTGTTTCGGAGAAAACCTCTGACCTGGGAAGAACCAACAAGAATCCCAGCGGAACATTTCTTTTAAATTGAGATAATATATCATTTTATACAATTATGAAATACACAGGTAGTAGTTACGTTGTACCAGTTCTGGCGCACTTGTAGAAAGGTTGTACCAGTTCTGGCGCACGACGTTCGTCGACTCACAATCCTAAAAAAAAAAGGTTTTGGCATGCTCTGATCACGAATCTGCAGTCCATTTTTGCGTAGGATGCACGGTTCCGGAGATGTGCAGATCAATTAACTCTTATCTAATTGATATCCGCTACGAGCCTCAACCGTCATTAGCGCTCCATTGTCCTTATCTACTTATCTATTGTTGATTGACTACCGTCATTATCTATTATTCGTCCAGCGTGTGGGTCGGCTTATGCTATTGTATTATACTCCTTTGTTCCTATCTACAACACTAATCTGAATCATCAATAAAACACATTACCTAATTTTGTTAAAATTTTTATTTATAAAATACAAAATCTTATTACTTATTATCTATAAAATAGGAGCGAAACATCTCATCCACTAACATATCGTTGTACAATGTGTTCTCTGTAAATATACTCGTAAAACTATGCATTGAACATCCCTGAAACTTATATAGCAAATACATTAAGCAATATTCGCCACAAACTGAAGTACTATCAACATTCCAGTTCCATCTTTTACAATTTCGTACAGGTGCCCGTCCATATGAATCAAAATATTCACCGACGTCATTCGTATCGATATATAAAGCTACCCAATGTGACCCTGGTTTATCATCTGTACCCAAATTGCATATTACCTAGTCAGGTCATAAATTCTATCACATGTTTAATGTAAAATAATTGAAAGAAGTTTATTCATTATGTAACCATTTATATACCAAAATGAACTTAACAAAACATAGATTCTTATGACACTATAGTTTATTCAAAATGACCTCCGTAATTTTGAATACAGGCCTTCAATCTGCGCGGCCAGTCGTCTATCTCACCACGAACGAGGTCCATGTCATATCGGCGGCTGCCTTAATTAAAGATGTCTTGAGTGACTCGAAATTGGGATGAGGCTTTGAGCACGCCTTTTCCTCCAAGTGTTACCATATCTTGTAATCTAACGGATTCAAATCTGGACTGAGGCGTCTTTGTGTCGGATGAAGTCGATTTCACGCGCCGCCAGCCAAGCTTTTTTTTTTTTGTTTTCAAAGAACGTTACCTCCACACTAGGTTTTTCTCCTGTATCGTGGGGGGGGCAGTTTACAAACACAAATTTCACAAGGACAAACATCCAAACTCGGAACAATTACTTGTAGGTCGTACAAATACTTGTTCCGTGCGGGATTCGAACCCGCGACCCCCAAGCGCAGCCACTCATTGCTAAGCCACTACGCCACGGAGCTGTCAAAAGTCTTGTGTGCTCTTCGCTCTATGAGCTGACGCCGAATCTTGTTGGAATACCCAGTGCCTGTTATTGAACATGGTATGAGAAACAGGTTACACAAGGTTCGTCAGGACTGTATTTTGAAACACAACTGCATTCGTTTTTAACCTTTCTCACAAAAATGTACCTCTGTTAAGCCTCAATAAGAAACTCCCAACCATACCATGAGCGAGGATGGAAAATGACCTCGTTGGACACGCGGAATACGGTTGCTCGCTTCTTCACTACTGTGTGCGTACACCTTATCATTTTGTTTGTTGTAGCTCTCTTCTACGGTAAAAATTTTTTTATCCGAAAAAAGAATTTCCCGATATTTTTTCCCGCGTACCGCTTCACCAAAGCGCGGCATCTCTTCAGTCTCAGATCCATTAGACGAGCATTCAAACGATGTCCTGTTTTTCTTCGATATGCCCGAAGCCCTAAGTCTTCATTTAACGCCGTGGTTCTGCTTAACCCCATCTGAAGGGCCAACAGTTTCTGCTTACGTTTGGGATTTCTTTGAATTCGCACCTTTACAGCTTTTATCACTGCTGGAGTCCTAACAAATCGAGGGCGACCACTTCTTGACCTGTCATCTACACTAGAGTCTTCATTGTATCGTTTGATGGTACGATAAACGAATCTTTTGGTTATATTCAAATTTTTTAGTATATCAAAAAATTTAATTGGCGCGTAATCGCAACTGCAACACGGTCTTTTTTAAGCGTCCACTCCATATGTAAAAATGAGTAAAATTCTAAAAAGTATACAGTTTTATTTTCATGAACAATTCGAATTCAATAAACTTTTTTTGTGGCCAGCATTCTAAAAGAAAAGTTTTTACTGTGTGACAATACTTATGACCTGACTAGGTATATACGTTGGTACGTGGGTGTACATGGGCAGTCTGTTAGCAGCATAAACATTATTTTCTAGACTGGGGTGAATCTTTTTCAGATGTTGTTGTACATCTAGTGTATCCATGATATTACTGCTATTAGTAGATTACTACAGTACAATCTACTCAATGACTAACATAGGAATGATCAATTATGTGATTTCTAAATATTAAATTGCATTTTTTCTGTTATACAAAACGTATTTGAGTCATCAATACACTGAATAAGACGCAACACGAAGAATGTGAGATAAGGTTGTTGACGCATAAAGTTATTATCAATTCTACTGTAGAAATTCTTTAGATTAGAATTATTACTTACTGGTACTATATAAGACCAAGCAACTGCAGTCATGGAGTTAGTGTATGGTCGTTTGACCGCAGTGTATCTATCAATAATACATTTGCGTTACTTCAACGCATCAAAGGCCATAGATGTAAGTGTTTAATCTATTGACAAACTTACTTTTCTTTCTGTTATTTTTTTACGTGTGTATGATTTTGAACGACAGGCCTGTTGGTCTAGTGGTTAGTGACCCTGACTGTTATGCCGGAGGTTGTGGGTTCGATTCCCACCCAGGACAAATGTTTGTGTGATGAGCACGATCATTTGTTCTGTGTCTGGGTGTAATTTATCTATAATATTTATGTATTTAGAAATATATAAGTATGTTTATCAGTTGTCTAGTACCCATAACACAAGCTCTGCTTAGCTTGGGACTAGATGGCGTTGTGTGATAGTTGTGGAATATTATTATTATTATTATTATTTAGTGTTAACAAATTATATTTAAATATTTTGTGTGTGTATATGATTAAGCCGTGGTAGCTCAGATGGTTAGCGCAAGCTGTAAATTTTATGCCCGCCGACACCACTTAAATTGTTAATTGCAATCATGTCTGAGAAAATTTCGAAGGCATGTGAAGTTCGCCAACACGCATTGAGACCGCGCCGCGGACATTTCCTAGCCATAAATACAAAGACAATAGCAGAAAGTAAAAAGTTAAAAAATACTTTTTTAACAATGACAGTCATTAGTTGATCATTAGTGAATGTGATTCTGTTTTCTTAAATTACAGGAAGAAAAGAGCAGAAGGAAGAAATGGGGTGATGGGAAGTAATGAAGAATGAATTGTTATGTGAAGTTTGTTGGAACAAACATATTTTAGTCACGTGTAAATACTTTTAACATTTTGGTTCAAAATGACACAAAATCTAAAAAATATTAGATACATCATCGACATGGACGGATTTTACATTACATATCCTCATAAACATTTTCAATGTAGAGAAGTGGCTATCCTAGACGTAAAACTATCTAATAAAAATGATTCGTTTATCGATCATTATTTGTTTCAGCCAAGTTATCCTTTCAATTATTTGTCGCCAAAAGACAAAAAAACTGTTCGTTATTGTGAAATACACGTGCACGGCATTCCATATTTTGATGTGACCGAAGAATTAAAATGTGCCTACAAACAAGAGAACATCATTCCCATATTAAATTGGTATATTAGAAATTTGTGCAAAGACGAAGTGATCGCATACAAAGGTGGTTCAACAGAAAAACAATTTTTAAAAATGTTGACGACGAATGATAGAATTTTTAATATTGAAGAATACAAATGTCCAAAATACAATGATTTGGTAAATGTCATAAATTTAAACAAACGTTATGTGTGTAATAATCATATATTTGCAAAAAATAAACACAAAATTTTACATTGTTCTTGTGACGAAGTGTGGGTTTTTTACAAGTGGTTATTGCTTGAAAATAAAATTTTAAATTAATCATAAATTTTGTTTGATTTCCCAAAAACATTAGTTATAGTATACTATATAATACAAAATTGGTTCAACAGAAAAACAATTTTTAAAAATGTTGACGACGAATGATAGAATTTTTAATATTGAAGAATACAAATGTCCAAAATACAATGATTTGGTAAATGTCATAAATTTAAACAAACGTTATGTGTGTAATAACCATATATTTGCAAAAAATAAACACAAAATTTTACATTGTTCTTGTGATGAAGTGTGGGTTTTTTACAAGTGGTTATTGCTTGAAAATAAAATTTTAAATTAATCATAAATTTTGTTTGATTTCCAAAAAACATTAGACAAAATTGGTTCAACAGAAAAACAATTTTTAAAAATGTTGACGACGAATGATAGAATTTTTAATATTGAAGAATACAAATGTCAAAAATACAATGATTTGGTAAATGTCATAAATTTAAACAAACGTTATGTGTGTAATAATCATATATTTGCAAAAAAATAAACACAAAATTTTACATTGTTCTTGTGACGAAGTGTGGGTTTTTTACAAGTGGTTATTGCTTGAAAATAAAATTTTAAATTAATCATAAATTTTGTTTGATTTCCAAAAAACATTAGACAAAATTGGTTCAACAGAAAAACAATTTTTAAAAATGTTGACGACGAATGATAGAATTTTTAATATTGAAGAATACAAATATCCAAAATACAATGATTTGGTAAATGTCATAAATTTAAACAAACGTTATGTGTGTATAAACCATATATTTGCAAAAAATAATCACAAAATTTTACATTGTTCTTGTGATGAAG